CAACTGTTGGGATACCCCCGAAGATCAAATTTATGCGACCTTTCATACGCCTGCCCAAAACATAACACCACCACCATCTCCATATCTTCTCCGGGGTGAAAATGTGGTGATATGTCCTGTTCTTCTCCAAACCCTGTCTCGGTTGTCAGAAGACTCAAACAAAACCGTGACTCATCCAAAAAGAAGATCAATTAATTGGTCAATCTCAAACCAGTTGAAGTGATTTCTTGAGAAACTTAACCGAGATTTTCTGTGCCTTAGTATTGAACCAGTGGCAGGTCTTCTCGCATGTATTCCAGCTTCCAAAAGTCTTCACTTACTTTACGTAAATTGACATTAAACATTTCTAACTTGCTGAAGTCGTAGCTTGATTTCAACATCGGTAGAATGTCGATTACGGAGTACATTCGAAGCAATAAAACAATCATCTGAGATGTGACACAATGGTGACTTGATCCATGCATTCTTTAAGTCTTGGTAGCTATGGAAAACTCTTCGGCCAGTTATTCTGGTAATATTAACCACCCTGGTTGTGGTTACGCTTGACATATTCCTTTCTCCAACAATGCTATGATTCTAGCCGAATCCGTATCTTGTTGTTGTCTAAGCGATAATTAAAAATATTAAGTGTTGCCTCTTTTTGCCTATTCAATATAATTATTCAGAAATCGTGAGATGCGGTCTGGTGTGATGTAGGTTTCAGAAAAACATTTTCTTTATCGTGCCAACGTTTCGATCTTTATTGAGATCATCTGCAAAGCCTGCGTTTTATAAACATTGTTTACATTTAACAAATACATTTAGGATTTGGAAAAGTGGATTTATGCAATGCAAAATATATGTTTTATAATCAATCAAAATATTTCTACTCCCTCAAAGTGTTTGTCTTCTGTGTAATTTTGCCATTCTTGCGTGTCGTGTTGAGAGTGCCAGTAAGATTTTGCTGTTTTATGTTTACATACGTTGGATTTTGAAAGGGTGGGGAAGGAAGTCGGAATAGAGTATAAACACAATCCCAGGCCCTGAAGATGATCTCAATAAAGTTCGAAACGTTGGCACGATAAAGAAAATGTTTTTCTGAAACCTACATCACACCAGACCGCATCTCACGATTTCTGAATAATTATCGATTAACGGTCACTAATCACCACACACTTCAATATAATATTTATTTTAATATAATTAATGAATGACAATTTTATGATGTATAAAATTAACATTCCAAGATCCAACATTCACAATCCTTCCCCGCATTCACATCTTTGAAAATATTCCGGGTGTTGTGTTTCATGAGATTCAACCCTTTTAAGGAAGACGTGTAGTTTTTTTATTGGGATGTTACAGTTCGCACTAAAAAGAAAGTTTTTCTAAATTATCACGTTCGGATGAAAACGCCTTTGATTACTAAAACAGCTTACTAATTAAAAAAATAGTGCAACACTTTTAACATATCTTAAATACATAGGTTATTATTGAATTCAACATATAATAAAAATTGTGGCAATTCCTTCCATGAATTAATTGAAGTTATGTTTTATATTGTCGGATGTGGTTCGGAGAAAAACTCAATATACATTGTGTATTGACTTGACAAATATTATTAAATAAAATGACTTCATTATTCTTAAAAACTGTAAAAAAATTTATATCGATCCAATTTTAGAAATGGAAGAGTATTATAAATGGTCTGATTACCTTCAACTGCCGTGGGCGGCCGAACATTGATGTTTGGTATATTAGAAAGATCTATTTTCAACCACCTGAGCAACGAGGAGTTAATACGCATTCGGTCCATTTGAGGTCTACTTTCATACTGAATGTTATGTCGCCTGACTTAAGAAACGTTTATCGCACCCTGGATCTACACCGCTTCGATTAACCGCCGTGCCACGGAAGTTCATTAGACTTTTTTCACAAAGCGACGAACTTTCAGTCCGAGGGTCAAGGCCCGACGTGTAAAAGTCTAGTTTGACCTAAGTAACCGACAAATGAACGGACTTACAGTTACATAGAAACTCTGGACTTCAAATATGGTTCTTATATTTTTAAACAAAAAAAATCCGCCCTAATTTTTGTGTTATAAAAGAAAATATATTATTTTAATACTCAACTCATAACGACTTAAAAAAGGTCAAAGCGAACGAAAAATTTTGTTTAAATTAGCACATATTTTCAAAATTATATTATCAAAAAGGAATATTAAGATATATAAAAAGGTATCAAATATCAGTTATTGAATTTGTAATTAGGTCAAGGAATATAAAATGAACCAGAAAAAATACATGCAATGGCATTAAACGCTCTACTGGGTCCGTCTACTCTCGCGTGTTTTGATTCGGTACGGTCAGTGACAAACCTGTAAAGATAATTAACTAGTTTTCGAATCATTTTCAATTGATCGTTTTCACATCTTTATATAATTTTTGTTTACTTATTTCTACCGCTTAAGATTTATTGATGTAAACTGAGACAAGGATTGCAGTTAAAAGAGCTTTGGAATTACAAAACGACCGACGGTTTCATTAGCGGCAATTATTTAAATTTTGATTAATGTTCAAGATTGCGTAAATAATTAATAAAGCGGTTGTGAATAGGCTCTTAGATTCGTCTCTCTCTCTTCTAAATGCTACACAATAAAAGGCTTTTGAATTATGCTGGTCTGTGCCAAAATACCTTTTCTCTCTCAAATTATGCCAGTAAGGGATTTATTCAGCAAACAGACCAACAACGCTCAAGTTCCCTGATGCACGAAAAACGGCCTTTTTATTACCTGAAGGTTTTGATTTGGTAACGTTGAAAAAATAACGACTAATTTCTACATCTGAGAAACCCTTTTTTCATTATTAATACGTTCATGTTTTTTTGATAAAGGCGCTATTTAAAAGTGAAAATATTGACAAAGTAAACTCACTTAAATACAACGCTACGTTCATTAAATTACATATAAAGAAATTAAAGAAGAATTTATAATTGTAACGAAGATTTCCCACGATGTATTTTCTGTGAGTTGGAGCGAAATATGGGATAAACTATGAATCTAGGTTGAAGAAAAAGTATTGGATTGGAAAAGGAGCACTGTCGTTGGTTCGGAGAATTTTGGATAAGGATTGGAATACGTTGGAGGTTGTAACGCCAATGATTACTTGAACGGATCTATCGGATACGTAGGTGCACGAGGAAGTAGATAAAAAGAGGAATCTCTTAAGCTTCCAGAGGAGCCATAGTGCCATCGATCGAAGGCTTGCTTCAAATCTAGAAATACATCTGAGTAGCACTGCTTTTGCAAGAGCGGTAGCAATGAGGCACTGCGATGGCACTACAGAACAGTGGAATGAGAACCCAAACCGGTCGTCAGGAATAAGGTTGCGGTCTGGGGTTTTCTAGGATTTTGCCTATTTTAGGACTAATTTGACGCTAAGATGGTGGAAGGTAATGTTTTTAGGCACTGGAATCATTCGAATGATGATCAAAATCAGTTAATAGTATTTTTTGATACTCGGGTGTTGGCAGTCCGGAGAGGTCAGACCTCAATCACATCCGTCCGCCACCGAGGTTTCTAGGCCAATTCAGCACCATGCGCCCGCAGTTCATTCATTATTAAATACATGTTTTCATATTTACATGCCATCACTCTTTTAGCGGAGTACTCGACATTCCTCCATCACGCTTTTTGGGCGCTGACACACGGAGCGGTTTTGACCGAAGCGTTTACCCCCCTTCCTCCTCCAGATAATGTTCAAAACAAAATCTTTATTAAACTAGTTACTACCATGTATCCCCGACAGTCATACGCATACTTTGTACCCGTAAAGCTGTAGAAATCATTTAATTATAGGGTGATGTACTTTCAAGTAGTTGTAAAGTTAAAAGAGGCACTGGAGGAAGGTGAGTTCGTTTTAAAAACGGCTGTGTTACTGTACAGCACCGTACAATCTGTAAATACTTAGATTTTTCCCCCATTTTTAGTAGTGGTTAAGTATCAATATGTAAAGCTCTAGGTGTCAGGAAGTTGAGAATTAGCTAAAATTATATTATTTATTAATCTTATTGAACTGGCATTGGCCCATTCCCCATGGAGTTCCCATGGATGAAGAGATTCTTCTGGTGTCTCTGTTGTACTATCGTTAGAAGAAGAGAATGGAGAAAAAACACAAAAGAATGTGGGTTCATCCAATTGTCGAGAAGAGAAGCGAAAGAGGGCATTTTAAGAATTTGTTTTCAGAGATGAGGAAACACCCTGAAGAATGTTTTAACTTTACCAGTATGTAAATGGGCAGTTTTGACGAGTTACATAATAAAATAAAATGCCGCATTACAATTTTTTTTCTCCACGTCTATTTTTTGCATCTTAAAAGTAAATTAGAAGACTGACAAACAAACAACCCTTCAAGAAAGTGGGGTACGAACAGCTCAAATAAACACCACGTGTGTCAGGGATGATGCAATACTTGGGTACCACTCACCGCCTGGCGTTTTCAAAACCGACGCGTTGGGTCGTCTCCGCCACCGACCGACTCGGTTTGAAAACCGACAGGCGGGTGCGACCGCTACGTCTGTCAGGTTATATGCAACAACAATGAACGACGCACCGCCTCGATTTTTCTCACGATAAACGCTTCGGTCAAAGCCGCTCCGTGTGTAATCGCCCTAAAACCTGTTATATAACGAACAATTGAGAATCAACGGTACTCAATAGTCCGCCAAGAGAGGGCTCACACACTTCACATTCACGCTAATAAATATAATCACTCTCAATATGCTGAGAACACAAAACTATCAGTACTATATAAAAATCAACACTTTTTCTCAAAGAATCGGAACAAAGGACTGAAAACATTCGCTGCCGTGCCCAGACCACTATTTTCATATTAGGAGGGTTTGCTACGCGCTCTCTATATGGAGCCAACCCCTTGCCGGATAACATTGCTAGTCAACTGGGTTTTTTCTCGTTTCCAACAGGGAAAGCGTCTTTCTTCAACAATAAACTCAGTGTGTTTTACCTCCTATTATAACCTTTCGGTCACCGTTCACGTTCTGAAGCTCCAAGACGTTCGTTTGCGGATTGATTCGTTGTGTCATCGTGACTGAGCCCTGAAAAAAAATTAAAATATGTTAGAATATAATGTGTTTATTTTCAAAATTAATAATACATTATGGTATGAGTTAGAACAGGAAACCTTTACGCCTATGGTGAAAATATTAATTAAATTGTTTATGAGTAGAATCAAAAGGAAAAACTAAGAAGTGTTGTTGTGTGTGGCAAGAGAAAGGAAGAAGTTCTTCCTTTTGCCAACTTGTGTTTTTCAGCGGATTAAAAAATAAAACTTGGGCAGACTATTGACAAATGGAGAATAGCAACTTCAAGAAAAGAACTATTAGATTCTCTGATAGGAAGACATCAGAGATCATGAAAAAGTTATTTCTTTTATTATATAACGGTCAAGTTTAACGATTTTTCTATTTTTACAGGGCACTAAGTTTTCAAAGAAACTATTTCTAATATAAACCTTTTCAATAATCCATTAGAGTTCGTGGTCCGATTGACCAAATAACTTTTTTCAATTAATTAATCTTTATGTAAGGTATTGGTTGAGATGAAAAGTTAGTTCACAAGCGGGATTCGAACCCACAAACTTCGGCTTATAAGCCGCTGCTCTACCACTTGAGCTACCGAGACTTTGATCCACTCGGACAACTTCTTACTTTACACGATACCTTACATAAAGATTAATTAATTGAAAAAGTTATTTCAAGGTCAATCGGACCACGAACTATAATGGATCTAATAAATAAAATGAAGTATATCTTCACGAAAGCTCTCCGTGGTCATTTCATTTGTCGCCGAGAATCGAATAGATTACACGACATTTGAAAAATGGCAAAACGGAGGGAAAATTCAAAATGTTGTAGGTTGAGAAGTTGCTGTCTGAGTAGATCGAAGTTATAATAGCTCAAGTCGTAGAGCTGCGGCGTATTTAGCCGAAGTTTGTGGGTTCGAATCCCGCTTGTGAACTAACTTTTCATCTCAACCAATACCTTAGATAAAGACTTTTCAATTGTTATCGTATATTTTTGTAAGGTCCTGGGCGGATCAAGCCAAAAATGTTCCAATTCCTAGGTTGAAAATTCACTCCCTATTTTTATTTCAATTTTTAGGTTTTGTCCACACAATAGAACAAAAAACTTCAGTACTTGTATAATTTAAAATTTCAACTCCTTGGACTAAATTGCTAAATTTTATGGTGTAAAATCGAATTTTCTATAGAATAGATTTACCAATCAGTTAACAATAATAAGGATTTGCCTCCCTTTCTTAGTTAGTAGTCGAGACTTATTTCACCCTGACATAAAGTCAAGGGCTCTTGCTGGTTCCAGAACACAGGAGATTTGAAACGCGCGGTCCAAGAAGAATGAAAAGAAAAAAAATTTCTCAAGATTTTCATCGCCTGTACGTTCCAAATCGAATGCTAACTGCGCTAGAGAAAGGAGGAGTATATACCGAATACTAGAATAATTTTATACTGTAAAAAAATTTTCAAAATAACGGAGAATGCGATGCAATTTTCTTCATCGGTATGAATTTCTATAGTAGAACTGAGTTTCTATCTGTTTAATTAAAACGTCTTTAAAGCGTCTTTCCATAGAGGACCGCCATTAAAATGAACATAAGTGAAGTATGCAATAGCCTCAATAACTTATGTCAATTTCTTAATCCAAAACCAGATTTTCCTCGATGGTTCTTGCACGAATCTTATTTTCCGGACTGTGGCTGAATTGAAGTGGACCGTGTATTCCACAAGAGAAATCAAAAATATTATATCCGAAAGTTAAATTTCCTGAAAACTCTGAACTGTGAATATCCTAAACTTGTCAATCATAAACCGATGCTCAAACCGCCGGGCTATTTACAGCAATGATTCGTTTATTATGCAAACAAGATCGATGGTAGTTTCGAGGACAAACTTCAAACTTTCTTCAAGTCAAAGAACATCATTCATAGATCGAATCGCGCCGTTCGTAACTCGTTAAAGTGTCATTAATCACTCGGTGCGACCTATATTACAGCAGATACGAAGAAGGAAGAATTGAAATAAGCCCTGCATGATTATTTTGAAACACACCAAATACATCTATTTTAAAGATATGACAAACATTAAAAACCTGAAAATACACACAAGATTACAAATGATAAAAAGCGAAGGCACATAAAAACGCACAAAAAAAGAAAAATCAATGTTAATTTGGTTGTAATTATTCTTTCTTTTTTAGGGTTTTGTTGGAATTTTACGTTAATTTTTTTATTTTTGAGCTTATTATTAGGTTCGGTTTTTACAAATCCTGTTTTTTTTAGTGCAGACACGAGTAGATTGGTCAAAATTGGAATCAGATAAAACATATTAAACAAGGTGATTCAGTACTCTACGACAAAGTTAGTCGGGTGCTTCTACTCCTTAAATGCAACAAAAAAGTTCTTGATATTCAATATTTGTGTGTGCCTCTTTTTTTCAACTATCTACTGTTTATGTCATAAATTTACTTGTAGCTGTTAAACTGTAAGTTTTTTGAGAAAACGAAAAAAGCATGGAAAAGAGCGTTACATTTCCTTTAAGAAACCATCCTTCTACACCTTTCAATTTTGTTAGAAAAAACAACATTAAATCTTAATATTATCTTTTTATTAGGTCAAAATTGGTTTTTACAGCCCATGAATGTTGGGCTTTAATTGTTCGCTATGTTTTTTTTATGTGCTTTGTTTGATTTTTATTTTGAATTTTTCTTGTTATTTAGTTTTTTTGTTACGTTACAGTTGGTTTTTAAAATTTCTGTATTGTTGTTATTCTTTTTTGTCTGTGTTTAGTGTATAGATTTTGTCCCATTTTTCGGCTTTGATTGTTTGGTGTCTCTTTTTGTGTTTTGTTTCATTTTTCTTTATTTTTGTGCTTTTTTTTATTAAGTAAATGTTGAGAAAAAAGAAAAATTTTGGCCAGGACAAAAAATTGAATTGCTACATTAACTTCATTCCACCTTTTTCACGATGTCATCATTTTTTCCGATTTAGCATCAAATTTCTTCATTTTAATTATAGTAATTAAAGAAAAGGGTGTATGTCTAGAAAGCTTATTAAACAAAGACGGTGTTATGAAATTTGCCAAGCTCTACCGTTTCTAATGTGGTTGCAATTTTAGTTTTTTTCCCTTATTTTAAATTTAGCACTTTTTGAACGATTTAGAGTCTGTTTTTTACTAAAAATTAAACTGAAAATTGAGGAATGGTGCTTTTTTAAAAGAAATGTAACTTCTTAGGCTTTTTTTAGATTTCTACAAAAATGAATAATTCAGGAGCTACGAGTACATTTATGACAAAAACCATACATTTTTGCACCGTCGCCACTTTTTTCCCATTTAGCATAAAATTTGTCTATTTTTGTCTGGTGTAATTAAAGAAATATCATTATTACCACTAGACAGTTCATTAATCGAAGAAGATGTCACGAAATTTTTCAAGTTCTACGGCGAATTTTTCCAAAGAAGTTGTAAGTTTAGTTTTTTTTTTTTTTTGAAAAATTTAGTGTTTAATGTTTTATCAAAAATGAAACTGAAAGTTTTATAACGGTGCATTCTTGAAGAAAATTTAAGCCTCTTTTCAATGATTTGTTTGGATTTCCCCTAAAATAAATAGTTCATGAGCTACGAGTAGATTTATGACGACGTAGACACTGAATAAAACATAAAATGTGAAATATCTGCGAAAGAGTTGAGAATCGTACTATGTTAAAAAAAAAAATTTGTTGCATTGGTGGTGGCCAAACAACTAACGAAATTTGTCCTTAGAGTAGCGAATCACCCTGTATATTATTTTTAATTATAAAATTTAAAAATGAACTAAAATATGTCAAAAGCATATTTATATGCTATTGACATATTTCGAATAAACGAAAAGAATTGATAGTTCGTTGCAAGTTGAAAAAACTTTGAGCTTGAAAAAATAAATCATACGATAATTTATAATAGTCTCGTAAATTAGGGTTGTAGTCAAAGGAACATTCATTAGATTAAAGAGTGGATGCGTTTGAATTTTGATGTATTCGACCATTTCTACTAGATCGCACCCAAAATGCAAAAAACTTGATTTGTTAGTCCTAAGGCAAGACATAGCAACTAGTAAATAATTGGAAGAGAAAACAATTTCTACGAGAAAATTTGTCAAGTTATATCCCCCCCTTTGCGTGAACGTGCGCGCCACGTGCGGTGTGTAACTGAAAAGAATGATGAGAATGTGAATGACGTGAACGCAGTCGGGGATTGCAGGATGCAAGGATTTGGAAGGAGTTACGACTTTCTGATGCTCAACTGCTTTGCCCCTCTTTCCTTCATCGAGCCTTGAATAATAGTCGAGCTCTTTTATGCTCGTGGCCTCCTTTCACACCGCTAGGACGTCGAGTCCTAACTGCGTTCCGGAACGCAAGTGTTTCCAAGTCAGAACGCTATGACCCATGCGAATTTTGCACACTACGGCATTTATCAATCTTTCTATTGGCATCCTGACATCTATATATTACGTGATAAAAATTGGTAAGCCATAAAACATATTTGTTATTTGTTCTGTATTTTGAAATAAAATAATCTCTTACACTGAAAGGCAAAAAACCCGGCCACCCTTAATATTTTTAATTATCTCTTAGACAATCCTCCATTGATTATTGTATTACACTGTTTGATCCGTTTGAAAGGATTAGAGATAAAAAATACAGATAATATTTCCCACTTGCGTTTACAATAAGATTTTCAAAATAAATCTTTAAATAGCCAATCTCTTTATTGTTGCTTTTTCCGTAAAGCATCTTTCCGGTGGTTTAGTTTTTTAATTTGTGGTGGTTAGTGACCGTTAGTCAATGATTATTCGGAGATCGTGAGATGCGGTCTGGTGTGACGTAGGTAAAAACATTTTCTTTATCGTGCCAACGTTTCGTTCTTCAGTGAGATCATCTTCAGGGCCTGGGATTTATAAACATTGTTTAAATTATACTAATACATCTAGAATGTGAAAAAATGAATTTCTATGATTGTATAATCTTTCTTTTTTTGTCATTT